CTACCGCTTGAGCTACATCTCCAGCCCCCCCAGGCCTTTTTATCTTGAGATAGAGTTTCCCTAAATTGCCAAGGCTGGCCTCAAACTTAAAATCTTCCTTCCTCAGCCTCCTGAATAGAAGTAGTCAGCATTAAAGGAATATGCCACCCCACTAGGCAATCTTTGTTGTTTAAAGCCACTAGATTTTAGGGTTTGTTTCCAAAGCATATCCTGGCTTATCCTGATGGGTGCAATTCGGTGTTATAAATGTAGAATCTAATGACCCCAGAAACAATCTGTCAGCTTACAACTGATGAGGAATCAACATTCCTAAATGTAATGTCAAACTTAAATTTTTTGAATATTAACATTTTAAAATCAATAAATAAGAGTTATATATTTTGATCATGCACAGCATACAGTTATGAAATATGAATACATTATGCAGGGCTGGGGTGGTGGCTCAGTGGTAGAGTGATCCCCTTACACGTTTGAGACCTGGGTTCGATCCTCAGCACCACATAAAAATAAATAAGTGAAATAAAGGTATGTGTCCAACTACAACTAAAAAATAAATATTTTTTAAAAATACATTATGTAGTGGCTAATTGAATACTAACATTTTCAATTAAAATTATAGTAAGATTTTTAATTTTTATATTTCACATATTCTTTTATCTTAGAATAATATGGTGATATTGTGCTTCAGCCAGATATTGATTTGTAACATTCTGCCAAAATACATATTCAGAGCCCCTCTAAAAATTATTTACTAAATTAAAATGATATGAATAAAATCTTGGCTATGTATTCTTTATTTAAAATAGTAGTTACTTAACTGAAACCTGAAATGATTTGTGAATTAAGTCACGATTTTTTTTCTATGAAAAAATACCATGATTTTTAAGAAAAATTTAGAAGTTCTTTGTTACCATTGTACATCTTCTATCATGTCTGTTCTGCTGCCACCAGCTGGCTTCCAGTACTGCTAAACTCCAGTAACCAGCAGGATTCAATTCTGTGCTTTGTTTTGACCGCTGGGCTCCTGATGAGAACACCAACTCAGTTGAATAACTAAATTTTAGGTTGGGAACAGAAAAGCACAATCAACTCATTTCCTCCATATTTTAGGTTATCAGATAGCCACAAGGTAGCTGGTACTGGTCTCAGCAAGTAGTCCAGACAAAGCTTCTGGCTAACACAAGAGTAGCCATTTCAATCCTTAAATTAGTATTTTCTTCCCAGGGAAAAATATTATTAAATGTTAGAGTCTTGGGGCTGGGGCTGTAGCTCAGTGATAGAGTACTTGCCTAGCATGCATTAGACACTGGGTTCAATCCTTAGCACCACATAGCAAATAAGATAAAGGCATTCTGTCCATTTACAACAACATTTAAAAAAAAAAAAGTCTAAAATACCAAACAGAGGTCAATTCAAATACAACATTGCACTGATAGCTTTAGTGTAATTTTAGGCTTTAATAACTTCAAGAAGTATAAATTCTATGAATTTACACAAAACATCATTTGAAGGTAAAATTATTTCAATTTCATGATCACTTGGTTTTGTGAATTTTTGAACAGTAAATATATTTTAAATTTTTTGTTTCAGTCAATATTTGCCATCGTGTTGGGATATTAAAATTCAAAATTATTTGAAATTCACAAAATTAAGTAATGGAGCAGCTCAGGAGGCTGAGGCACGAGGATCACATGTTCAAAACCAGCCTCACAACAACAGGCACTAAGCAACTCAGGGAGACCCTGTCTCAAAAAAAAAAAAAAAAAGGGCTGGGGATGTGGCTCAGTGGTCTAGGGCCCCTGAGTTCAATACCTGGTACCAAAAAAAAGGGTGGGGGTGAGGTTGTGGCTCAGTGGTAGAATACTTGCCCTGTACACATGAGGCGCTGTGTTCAAACCTCAGCACCACATAAAGTAAATCAATAAGTAAAATAAAGGTATTGTGTTTATGAAAAAAAATTAAGTAATGGAGATTTAAATGAGTTTCAAGGAAATTTAAATTAAGAAAATTTAAATGAGTTTCAAGTGATGGTTTTTCTAAGTGTTATCATTTCTACCTAAGAAGTTCTCAAAGTTTAAGACAGCACTAAGACCTTTGGGATACCTGTATGTGAAAATGTGGAGTGGGGGGGGACAAACATAAACTTTTATAATTTATACTCAGCTATGTTCAAAGAAAATTGACAGTAGAATGAGACGGACATGGGCTGGGGATGTGGCTCAAGAGGTAGCGCGCTCGCCTGGCATGTGTGCGGCCGGGGTTCGATCCTCAGCACCACATACAGACGAAAGATATTGTGTCCGCTGATAACTAAAAAAATAAATATTAAAAAATTCTCTCTCTCTCTCTTTAAAAAAAAAAAAGAGAGACGGACATCATTACCCTAAGTACATGTATAAAAACACAAATGGTGTAACTCTACTTTGTGTACACCAATAAACATGGAAAAATGTGCTCTATTTATGTAATATGAATTGAATTGCATTCTGCTATCATATATAACAAATTGAAATAAATAAAATAAAAAATTAAAAAAAGAAAATTGAAACCATTTATAACAACATATACACACATATAAACAACAAGATGTAAAGCTGAGTCAAAAAAATTATGGAAGCTAGAGAGACATGTTTCTAAGTGACTGAAACATTAGGAAAAGTATGGGAGAATGATGCAAGTTAGTAGCATTATCTGTAAAACAGTTTTCCTATATTATACTACATTTTCACTTTGAAGGGGGTTGAGGATGCATTTATATTTGGGATACTTGTCCTAAAGATAGTATTAAGACCTTGATATTTTTGTATTAACACTATTATTGCTGATGATGCTGTCACAGGAAAGCAAGGAGCTGGAAACTTCAAACCTTGATTCTTGTATTCCGACAAAAGAATTTTTTTAATGTTTACTTTTTATTTGTAGGTGGACACAACACCTTTTTTTAAATTTTATTTGGTGCTGAGGCTCAAACCCAGTGCCTCACACGTGCTAGGAAGCGCTCTCCCACTGAGCCACAACCTCAGCCCCTGATGAAATAAAATTTAAAGTCAAACCCCAAAAGTCATGCAAGAGAACTTTATTATAAGTGAAAGTTAAACCTAAGTAAAACCTAAGTAAGTCTCATACAGGGAGCACTCTGAAAATTTCAGAGTGGGCCATCTCTGAGCAGAGAACGGCAAGGAGACAATGCTGTCTACAAATTTATTACTGTTTGATGTTTACCAGGAAAACTGGGACCACCTTCTGTACTGTACCCCTTGCCAACCAGATGTTCAACTCCTACTTCACATGGGGTGGTGGAGTTTTTCACCTTAGTTGGTCCTCTCCAGAACTGTCATGGTGGCCATCCTATTTAGAGGGGCTTCATTTATAAGTCAATCCCATGTTAATATGGGTGCTAGGGTCAATAGCTGGTCAGAAGTTACCTTAGTGCCCTGCTAAAGGAATCTTCCTTCCCAGACAGATAGAGACACTTAGAGTTATAATTCCTAACTTCACATCAACCTCAGCGGAACCTGTCAAGTTAATTCCATTAATCCTTTTCTCTTGCTGTGTTTCCCCATTAGCTCATTTGTTTCTGTTTATTGTCTACAAATTAAGTATAACCCTCCGTTTCTTATCTACTTTGGAAGTAGTTTAAGAAGACCCTAAAGTAATTTAAAGAACACTCCTGACTTTGCCATGCATTTCACTTCTCTTTGCTAGCTACCATTTAACAATGCTTTTCCAGAAAAGGTGAAACAATTAACTTTGAAAGATAAACAATAAAAGAATGCAGTGGGGGGGCTAGGGTTGTGGCTCAGTGGTAGAGCACTCGCCTAGCACATGTGAGGCCCTGGGTTCGATTCTCAGCACCACATATAAATAAATAGAATAAACGTGTTGTGTCCACCTACAACTAAAATATAAATAAATATTTATATATAATATATGCAGTGGGGCTGGGTAGAGTACTTGCAACCATGCGTGCGGCCCTGGGTCCCAGTGATAGAAGAAATTGCAGAAAAACACTTAATAAATATTAGTTTTCCTTCCCTCTAATAGAGATTGTCTAGTTCAGTGGTTCTCAACCTTGGCTCCACAGTGGAAAGACCCCTGAGTTTAAAAAGCACAGATCTTGGGTCCCACGGAGCTTTGGATTTAATTGGTCTGGGTTACAAAATGAGCATCCAGAATTTTAAAGCCCCCTGGTGATCCTAATGTGCAGCTGAGGTTGAGAAACACTGCTGTAGTTCAGTATATAATCAAGTATATGTCAATATAAAAATATGTGCAGATGTTCAGAGCTCCAATTTTTAACAGTAGCATCAATCTCAAATTTTATAATCAAAGAGGTTGGGAAAAATCAGTCAACAATCAACATTAATAAATCTCAAAAAATATGTCAAGCAAAATATGCCAGACATAAATGGTGTGATTCTATTTACATAAAGTTAAAAGAAAAGAAAACAGAACGGGGCGGGGGAAGGTTGGGGGAATCAACTGAGGAACACTAGAGGGAAATTCCTGAGATGGAAATGTTCTACATTTTTGATTAGGGTATATGGAAATACACATTTATTAAAACTCATCGAAATGGACAATTGAGATCTGTGTGTATGATTTCGCCATATGTAAATTACAGTTCCGTAATAAGAATGAATAAGTAAACCTGATTAACTTAAATGTGGATACCTATGACCAGGTCGGGGAGGCAGCGATAATAATTACTTCAGATGATCCCCCAGATCTTACTAGATTAAAAGGAACTGCACACCCCAGATCAGAACCACTGAGAAGGGAGAGCACACAGCAGAGACGGGCAAAACCTAACAAATCTCCACAAGACTGGTAGTCGAAAACAAGGGGTTCCCAAGACAGCGGCGCCTAGTGTCACAAGAATATAATCCCCTACGCCATTTTCCGGTACTCGCAAGTGCGACCGTGTATCGGCACCGGAAGAATCCGGAGGGAAACGTCTCCACCGCCTTAAAGGAACCGCAGGTTAATTTGGTTCCCGCGCGGATGTTGGAGCTGTAAGGCGCCTGGCGGTCGGCGGCTGCAGCTCTGAGGGAGGAGGAAGCCGGGGCTCATCTTCTCTCCGCTGCCGCCATGATTCCAGTGTCGCTGGTGGTGGTGGTGGTGGGCGGCTGGACTGCCGTCTACCTGACCGACTTGGTGCTGAAGGTGAGGGCCTCGGGCCTAAGACCCAAGCCGGTGGTGACCAGGGCCCGATCGCAAGGTTCTGTGTCGCCCGAGGCCTTTCTCTTCCCCTGCCAAGAGCCTTCGGGGCTAGAAGCCGCACCGCCGGTGCCCACGTGCGGCCTTTTGCGTGGCGCATCCGCCCGATGGAGTAAATAAAGCACGGCTGGCTGCGGGAGGGGTGTGGCGGCCCGCGCAGCTACCGCTGCCGCATTGCGGGTGACGGTCATCGCTGCCTTTGATCTTGCCGGGAAGGCGACAATGGTGGGCTAGGGGATGCGGGGCGGGTCTTGCTGGACCCCACAGTAGCAGTGTACCAGGGAGGAAAATAAAACATCTGTAGGAAAGGCTTTCTTTTCCCTCATTGTTTTAGGGTTACGACCCTCTAGAGACAATGGTATTGGAATGAATCTAAATCAAGTCATGATTGAAATCACTGATTTCAAACTCAGAGGTGCAGAGAGTCATCTTGGGGTTCCGGTTAAAAATGCAGATTCTGATTCAGCAGATCTGGGAAGGTTCCTAAGATTATGCATTTCTAATCCGTTCCTGAGTGCTACCGATGCAGCTGGTCCCCAGACCATTATTGAAAGTAGCACGCTCAAGTATCAAGGATTTAGATAACCAGTTTTCTATTATTCGAATTCTGATTTGCACCCTGCACCTTCTTCACACTAGCCACACGCCCTCTGGGTGCATGGTCCATATTTGAGTTATTTGGGAATGGTAGCAAAAAATAGCAACGATTTTCTGACCACGTGCTTCAAGAACCTTTTCCAGTCGAATATTGGGGGGGGGGGGGTGTGAGGGTAACTATATGTGGAATAAGATCATATACGTTCTCAATGGTTTAATAAAAACACCAATTATGAACAGGAAAACCTTTATGTAATGAATACTGTTTTAAATAGAATGCTGTAGTATTGTGTGTCTTAGATATAACAATAAAATGAAGTGATGCTTGTTCGTCATTATTTTTAAACTTGCCAAGTGCAAGAGATTATACACGTAGTTCTTAGGAGAGCTGGGTGCTGCCACTTCCTAACCATTTTGACTGGGCAAATTACTACCTGTGCCACAGTTTCTCATCTTTAAATAGGAATAATAATAGGAAGGATCTCCTGAGATTATAGAGAGGAATATGTTAGTACATCCACATAAAGGCTTGTTATACAACCTAAGGTGTAAGGACCCCATCTCAAAAAATAAAAGGACTGGGGAGGTAGCTCAGTGGTAAAGCACCCCTGGGGTTCAATCCCCAGTATCGCGCACACACACACACACACACAAAGTCAAATCTATACAGTCTTTCATCAAGTATATGAGGTGATCAGGATGTCTCTTTAATTTCAGTAACAGCCCTCAGCTCCCTAAGAGTATTAATTCTCAATCAAAAGACCTAATGACTCATTCAGAGTGTCTGCCTAGGGAATAGAGAGACCTTAACTTCAGGAGCTTGTACCTTCAGCTTCTCTGCTTCTAGCTTGATCTGCTATTCCACCCTTAGTTGTTTTTTGTTTTGTTTTAGCATTTTTTGCAGTACATATCTGCTGGAGGGGTATGTCACTCTCCTTTTAAAGTCTTGGAAAACTAAGAGGTTTTAAAAGCTACCCAAAGACTGAGATGAGAAAACCTTAGATATGTATATTCAGACTCAGGTCACTTTTTAATCACTGTGATAGGGCTGAAATAACCTTCTAGGACAAATAAGCCTCACATAGGTGAGCATCAGTTATATCTACTTACAGTCCTTATTATAATTGTCAGATATATAACATAGCCTTATGTTATCTATAATCCTGTATTAGTCAAGTACTTCAAACTCTCCTAAATATAAAACTATTGTAGCTGTGTATAAGCAACTATTCCCACAACCCCCAAAGAATTTAAGAGATGTTACTGAGACCAAGATGGCTTTAGGTAAGTTCTGTACTTTTACATGTTGGAAGTTGGCCTAACTTAGGGTTTCTCAGAAGATAGAAAGCACAGATTATAGCTGAGCATGGTAGCACATGTTTCTAACTGCAGCTACTTAGGAGGCTAAGGCAGGAAGATCACATACTTGAGGACAGCCTGGGCCTGTCTCAAAGCAGAAAATTTAAAAAAAGGGTTGGAGATCTACCTAAGTGATAAAGGACCTCCGGATTCAATCCCCAGTGTAGCAAAAAGGAAATTAAAAAGAAGGAAAGCACTGATTCCAACTAACCTATCCTTTGTGTTGAATTGATTGTAACATAAGGCCTCTTTCCTTTCTGTGGTAAAAAGGAAACCTGTGCTGTCCAATGTGGTAGTTATTGACCACATGTGACTATTAAGCATTTGACATGGAGCCATTCTGAATAGAGATGTGCTGTAAGTTTAAAGTTAATACCAGATTTCAAACAAAATCAAAACCAGTATCTCAATATTTTATTATATTCATTACATGTTGAAATGATATCTCGGATATTTGGGGTTAAAATACATGCTAATTAATCACTTTTTGATTATTTAAAATTTGAAATATAATTTAAATTTATATGTTGTTAACATTTGTGGCTCACATTATATTTCTGTTGGACAATACCATTCTAAGCAGAGGTCAGCAAACTTCTTCTATAAAAGATTTTAGTCTTTGTGGGCAACACAGTCTATCTGTCATATATTCCTGTTTGTTGTTGGTTTTTAAAATCCCTTAAAAGTGCAAAAACTAGGCTGGGTGCAGTGGCGCACACCTGAAATCCCAGCAGCTCATGAGGCTGAGTCAGGAGGATCACAAGTTTGAGACCAGCCTCAGCAACTTAGCGAGGTGCTAAGCAACTCAGTGAGACCCTGTCTCTAAATAAAATACAAAATAGGGCTGGGGATTTGGCTCAGTGGTCGAGTGCCCCTGAGTTCAATCCCCAGTACCAAAAAAAGTGCAAAAACTATTCTTAGTTCACAGGCTATACTAATACAGGTTGTAAGCCATATTTGGTTTGTGGGCCATGATTTGCCAGACCCTAACTTCAGCAGCTCAAACCTTTAATACTCTGAAGAATAAACAGAAAGCTTTAAAAGACATTTGAGCAGTTCAGCATTGTGATTTCTTATAGAAAATACTTTTTTCACTTCTTATATGTTATAAATTGTTCTTCAAAATTAAGTGATATGAAATTTTTTTCTTTCTCTTATAGTCATCTGTCTATTTTAAACATTCTTATGAAGACTGGCTGGAAAACAATGGATTGAGCATCTCCCCTTTTCACATAAGATGGCAAACTGCAGTTTTCAATCGTGCCTTTTATAGTTGGGGACGGCGGAAAGCAAGGATGCTTTACCAGTGGTACTCTTCATCTTCTCTTTTTGATTTAAATTAGTCATGTTCATGAGGAATAGCTTGTTAAATTAGCCATTTCCATCATATTTTTGATCTACCAAGTTTTTGAATATTGGCAGTAGAAAATTTTTCTAGTTTTTAATAACTTTATAGGATTGTATCATTGTGCTTTTACATACATTAAAAATCATGGTTGTGCTGGGCATAGTGGCAAACACCTGTAACCCCAGCAGCTCAGGAGGCTGAGAAAGGAGGATGTAGACTTCAAAGCCAGCCTCAGCAACTGTGAGGCACTAACCAACTCAGTGAGGCCCTGTCTCTAAATAAAATATAAAATAGGGCTGGGGATGTGGCTTAGTGGTTGAGTGCCCCTGAGTTCAATCTCTAGTACACACACACACACACGCACATACACACACACACACACACACACACAGTCATGGTTGTACAACTATAATGCACCAATAAAAAATGTGGGGGAAAAATTGTGTTTTATGGTTTGGGTTTACAATGATCTCTAGGATACCCCAGATCCTGACAGGTTCTTAGTTGAGGGAAGGTGGGGTTGGAGGGTGGTCTGAATTCCTTTTTGTTAAAAATATAGCTCCAGATAGATTACAGCTAAATATAAACAATTAAATCATCAAAGAGTTAACAGAAAATGCAACTAATGCTAATCAAAATATACAGTAGAACAAAGGAAATAATAAGAGCAGAAATTAGTGAAATAGAAAGTATACAATAAAGAAAATTGGCAAAGCCAAATTTTGGTTCTTTGAAAGGATTAATAAAAGTAACTAATCAAGAAAAGAAAAAAAAAAAACACAAACTCAAAGTCAGAATTGAAAAGAGGATGTTACTACAGATTCTGTAGACAAAAAAGAGACTATTAGGAACAAGTCTACAATTATAAATTTGACAGTTTAGATGAAATGAACCAGTTCCTTGAAAAACACAACTTATCAGAAAGTTAAAAAATAAGCTGGTTGTGGTAGCACACACCTATAATTCCCAGCAACTTGGGAGGCTGAGGCAAGAGGATCTCAAGTTTTAGGCCAGGCTCAGCAATTTATCGAGGCCCTCAGCAACTCGGCTACTCAGCAAGACTCTGTCTCTAAAATTTAAAAAGGCAGGTGGTGCACCTGGGAATATGGCTCAGTGGTTAAACACCCCTGGGTTCAATATTTGGTACAAATAAATAAAATAAAAACATTAGGATGGGCTCAGTGGTTAAGTGCCCCTGGGTTTAATCCCTGGTACCAAAAGAAAAAAAAGAAAATGGAACATATTATTCTCCACTATAGCACAGTAACTTCTAATTATTAAAAAAGTAGAAGAAAATGAACTATTAAATCTTCCCATATTAATATTTAGACTAGTTTATCTCAAAGTAAAGCTAAAATACAATGCAGACAAAAATAAGTGAAAAACAATGGTATATAATGCCAAGAGTTGTCCTAACTATGTTCAAATAAGATCAAAATAGAGCTGTGTGAATGAGCAAATACCATGAGAGGAACCCAACTAATTTTTTTTAATTGGGATCAACACTGAGCCTCTCTGGGTACCAGGAAATTATAAATTATTATAACTGCTTAAAGAAATTAGCGCCAGTGCTAGAGTCAAGTATTTGAAGTTCAGAGAGGAAAACGAGACAGAGTTGTTGAACATTTAGCCATTATTTTAAAGCTATGAAGTGTGGTTGGGCAGTGAATTTGTTAGTGCGCAGATTGTGAAGAGTTGTACATTTATATGATTTTTTTTTCATCTTGACAGGTTCAATTTTGGAATGGTCTTTGGTGTAATTGCCATGTTTAGCTCTTTTTTTCTTCTTGGAAAAACATTGATGCAGACTTTGGCACAGATGATGGCTGACTCTCCCTCTTCTTCTTCCTCTTCTTCTTCCTCCTCCTCTTCCTCTTCTTCTTCTTCCTCTTCTTCCTCCTCTTCCTCCTCTTCCTCTGCTCTTCACAATGAACAGGTGTTACAAGTTGTGGTAAGTACCTTCTTTTTGTTTTAAATAACTGTTGAAATGTAGATACAAGATTTCTTTCTGGCTAGTATACCTAGTATCCATAATATAAACATGAAAATAAAAGCCTTAAAATTTTTCAAATTACTTGCTTAAATAAAAAATACTGGGGACTGGGGTTGTGGCTCAGTGGCAGAGCCTAGCATGTGTGAGGCACTGGGTTCAATCCTCAGCACCACATATAAATAAATAAAATAAAAGGTCCATAGACAACTAAAAAAAAATTTTAAGTAAAAAATACTAATTAGTAAGTAATGAGAGGAATTGTGATATTTGGTAGTAGCATAATAGTTATAGCAGTGAACAAATGGGCCAGTATCAAAACTGTCAGCAATTACAGAGATATTCAGCTTAATTCATATTGTCATCTTAAGGTGTTAAATGATTGTTGCTTTCAAGGAATAAGCATGCTGACTTAAGGTATCTATAATGTACAAGTAAATTGTATTTTAGTCTTATGCAGAGTGTTCCCCTTTTCATTCCATGGCTTTCAGAGTATAACCAATAATATCTTTTTAATTAAAAGTATAGCTGGGCTGGCAAGATGGTGTGCCTATAATCCTAACAGCTGGGGAGGCTGAGACAGGAGGATTGTGAGTTTAAAGCCGGCTTCAGCAAAAGTGAGGCACTAAGCAATTCAGTGAGACCCTGTCTCTAAATAAAATACAAAATAGGGCTGGGGATGTGGCTCAGTGGTCGAGTGCCCCTGAGTTCAATCCCCAGTACCCGCCAAAAAGAAGTATAGCCAGGCGCATGGCATGGACCTGTAATCCTGGTGGCCTAGGAAGCTGAGGCAGGAGGATCGCGAATTTGAGACCAGCCTTAGCAACTTAGTGAGACCCTGTCTCTAAATAAAATACAAAAAAAAAAAAAAAGGCTGAGGATGTGGGTGAATGGTTAAGTGCTCCTGAGTTCATTTCCTGGTACCAAAAAAAAAGTATAATACTGGGATTGTGAGTGTTACTCAGTGGTAGACTGCTTGTGGGCATGTGTGAGACCCTAGGTACAATCCCTACCACCACCACCACACACAAGAAAAGAGGTATAACACCTTTCCAAATAGTCACTGTGATTCTTGATGTAAAGAATAATGTGCTGAATTGTACTCCTTTGACTGTAATCTATTTACAATAATTCTCACATTAAAGAACATGTGTATACCTATACCTACCATTCCATGGTAAGCCCTCTACCAACTGAACCATATCCCCAGTCCCCCCCCCCCTTTTTAAGCAGAACTGGGGATTGCACAACCCAGGTCCTCAGGCATGCTAGGCAAGCACTGTGCCATCGTGCTACATCCCCAGCCCTAGTTGGTTCACTTTTATTTCACATTTTTAAATTTATTTATTTTTTTTTCACATTTTTAAATTTATAGTTCCCATTCCATGAAGCATGGATATTAAGTTTTTAATCATGTTTTGTTAATGGAATATACTGTTTAAGAGTCAGTGACAGTTATATTTGCAGACTGGGTTTTGAACCCAGAGGTGCTCTACCACTGACCTACATCCCTAGCTTTTTACATTAAGTTGCCCAGGCTGGTCTCAATCTTGCGATCCTCCTGCTTCAGCCTCCTAAAATTAGCTGGGATTATAGTTATGCCAACCATGCCCAGTTCCTCTTTCTGTTTTTTTTAACTCATTTCTTTGTGATCTCTGCTAGGCTCAGTAATTATGGAAAGATTTAGAAGTCATTTATAGAGAATGATAAATAGTCAGTTTTTTCTTAGAAGTAAAAACTATTCACCGGGTGAAGCACTAGAAAAGTATAGCTAGGCCCTATTTACGTGGGGGACAGAAATCCAATCCTGGCAGAACTTTTAGAAGGATAGCTTTTATGATTGCACTACAGTTGAACATCATATAAGGTGCTGTGGGAACAGTATAGGAATGCAAGGTGAGCCTGGCACTGGGAAAAGAATAAAAAGACAATCTTAACAGAATAATGAGAAGAGTTCACATTGACTGGGAAAGGAAGATAGAAATTGGGCATCTCAGTAATGAAACAATGTAACATAGGAGGGAATAATCATAGTAATAATAAGACCTAGTTAACATTCAGCGCTTCCTGTGTGAGCTTTCTGTACCTTTTTTATTTTACTCTTGTGATTATCCAGAGGTAACTGTTGGTGTTCTCCCTGACTTACCGATGAAAAAAATCAAGGCACAGAGATAGTGACTCTACCTGTGGTCACAGCTAGTAAATAATAGGTCCATCATCACTGACCTTAGAGCCAACACACATTATGTTGTATTCCTCTGGAGGACAGATATTTCAAGAAAGTATAAATAATATTGACCTATATCTATGAATTATATGGTGGAAGAATGGGTAGGAGGGTCAGCAAGAGAACAGGACAATGCAGGAGATAAGATGGGAAATATAGGTAGGGTCTAGGTTAGGAAGGACCATTCTAGGAAGTTTTAGTTTTACCTATACATAATAGATATGTGCAAAATGGAGCAAAGTTGGCTAAACTAAAGATAGGGAGACCATTTAAGAAGGCTATTAGAAGTGATGAAGATCTAAACTAAATTAGTGGTATAGGAAAAGGAAGAGATGGATTCAAGTTATCTTTTGGAGTGCAGTTTTTAGACTTAGTGGCAGATTGAATGTGAGGTTAGAGGAAGAAGGAATAGTTCATGATGACTCTCAGGTTACCTGACTGGTTATTGCTCACCAAAAAGAGGATAGGATGGAAAGAAACTGATGGAGAAAACATGATAATTGACAGATGTATCTACCTTCTAGATTTTGAATGACAAAATGTTGTGTAGAGAAGAAATTGTTTCTTCTTTCTGATTTTCAGTTTATTCTAGTTTTCACAAAAATATTCATTCTATTAGGCAAACTGTGCTTTGGAACCATTAAGTTAGCAGCCAGCTCAGGAGGCTGAGGCAGGAAGGTTGTAAGTTCAAAGCCAGCCTGGGCAACTCAGTAAAATCCTATTTCAAAATTAAAAAATAAGGGGCTGAGTGTGTAGGTCAGTGGTAGAGTGACCCTCAGTTGAATCCCTAGTCCCTACCTCTCACATACACACAAAGAAGTCAGCAAACCTGTAGTCCACCATGCCTATTTATGTGTAATTAAGGACATTATGTCTGATGGGTGCAGTGGCACACGCCTGTACTCCCAGCAGCTTGGGAGGCTGAGGCAGGAGGATTGCAAGTTCAAAGTCAGCTTCAGTGTATAGAGTATAGTGAGGCCACAAGCAACTTAATAAGACTCTGTATCAAATTTTTGAAAAAGGGCTAGGTATGTGTCTCACTGGTTAAGTGTCCCTGGGTTTAATCTATGGTACCCCAAAAAAAAAAAAAAGAATTTTTGTCTCCTGAGTTTGATATAAGCCATTGTAGCTTAAAGAACATACATTCAGTTTACTGTTTACTCTAAAATTCAGTTTACTCTAAAATTCCCTACACACCATGTTCAGTATTAATTCCTCAAACCCTGGCACTCTTGTGTTATTGAGAGTATTCTGTATTCAGTATTCTGATACAGCTAATACCCTGTGTGATCACAGCAAACAGATGGGCCATTTTGTACTGTTGCCAGCAAATAAGACCTACCATCTGTTGGTATAGTCACACACTAAAATTCTTACCTTATCTCACTTATTATTACATCCAGAAGACAATAAAGAGAAGGAACAAATATCCTATTAGATCAGGCTTACTGGTTTATTTGAAAGGAAGGTAAGGCAACCTGGATATTTTGTGAGATAGAGGATATGAGAGTGAATCTTTTTTTTTTTTTTTTTTTTTTTGGTACCAGGATTGAACTCTCAACCACTGAGTCACATCCCCAGCCCTTTTTAAAAAATATTTTTAGTTATAGATGGACACAATACCTTTATTTTATTTATTTATTTTTATGTGGTACTAAGCCTCACACATGCTAAGCAAGTAAGTGTTCTGCCACTGAGCCCCAACCCCAGCCCCTCAGCACCCCCCGCCCTTTTTTTAAGAGACAGGGCCTCACTAAGTTGCTGAGTCTGGCTTTGAACTCATGATCCTCTTGCCTTCACCTCAGGAGCCGCTGAGATTACAGATGTGTGCCACAGCACTTGGCCATAGTACATAAATTTAGAGAAGGGTCAGAGAAAACTAAACAACAGAATTGAACAGACCTTTAACAACATGAGACTGGAGCAAGTATGTTGAAAAGGGATATTGATATTTGTGAGAAAAAAGTAGCTCAATAGGGTCAAGTAAAGAGAACTTCAGATAATGAGATATTATGCATACATTACGAATGATGATGAAACGGATTTTATAACCAGAGAAAGGAGGCATGGAATTATTGGAATTTGGAAAATGATCAAAGCAGCATTCTGTGAATCTCCTCTTCATTTAATAAAGGAGGCTTAAAAGTGAAACTCCTGGGGCTGGGATTGTGGCTCAGTGGTAGAGGGCTCGCCTAGCACGGGCCGGACCTGGGTTCGATCCTCAGCACCACATAAAAATAAAGGCATTGTGTTGTATCCATCTACACCTAAAAAATAAATATTTAAAAAAAAGTGAAACTCCTCTGGAGCTGTGGATATAGCTCAGTGACAGAGCACTTGTCAAGCATGCGCAAAGCCCTAGGTTCAATCCCCAGTACAAAAAAAAAAAAATCCTAAAAAATGAAACTCCTGCTGAATAAATTCTGATTGAGTTGGAATTGAAACTTTAAATCATAAAATTCTTTGAAAGAAAGAACCTCAGATTATTGTTATATGAACACAGAACGAGGAAGGCGTAAAACTAATGTCAAAGTATGAATTTTATGTAACAGTAACACCTTTAATTTTTTTTTATTTTAAAGCTGTTTTTTTTTTTTTTGTAGAGAGTTTTAGATTCCTGGCAAAATTGAGAGGAAAATATTGAGTTTTCCTATATACCTCCCAACCCCTACACATGCACAGCCTCTTCCACAATCAACAACCCCCACCAGAGTGATATATTTGTTATAATTGACAAACCTACACATCTACACTGGTTGGTCATCACAACTCAGAGTCCATAGTTGACATTGAAGTTCATTCCTACCTGTGTACAGTGGTGCACGCCTATAATCCCAGCAATTTAGGAGACTGAGGCAGAAGGATCACAAGTTTGAGTCAGCCTCAGCAACTTAGCTGACACTGGCTCAAAATGAAAATTAAAAAGGACTGGAATGGGGCTGGGGTTGTGGCTCAGTGGTAAAGTGCTTGCCTAGTATGTGTGAGGCACTGGGTTCAATTCTCAGCACTGCATATAAATAAATAAAATAAAGTGCATTGGCAAGTAAAAAAATATTTTAAAAAAAGGACTGGGTTGTTGCTCAGTGGTAGAGCACCCCTGGATTCAATCCCCAGTATTAAAAAAAAAAAAAACCTCCTAGTATTGTAGGAAATGATGAATCTTGATAGATTTGACTACATAAAATTTATTTATAAATGAAAAGCAAGATAAGATTACAAGACAAACTAGGGAATACATTTGTGATGTATTACAAAGGACTGCTATATCTGAAGTAATCTTAAATATTAGTGAGGAAAAGATGAATATTTATTTTACTTATTTTGGAGCTGTGGGTTGAACCTAGGGGTTCAGACATGTTAGACAAGCAATCTACGCCCCTCAAGATGAATACTTTAGGATTTTAAAAAAAGGTCATAAGATCATAAGTAGGCAACTCACAAATGTCAAAAATATTGACAAAAATATGAGGGAATTTCAGTTTTACTAATGAACAAAAAAATGTAGTTCCATCACAAATTTGAATAAAATGAGCTTGTCCAAGCTTATGGAAGGGTTGGCTTTTGAAGAACAGTGTGATAGTATGTATCAAAGTTGTTAAGGTTTGGATATGACACGTCCCCAAAAAACTTCTGTGTTAATTCAGGAATATTCTGAGGTAAAATGATTGGATTGTGAGAGCTGTAACTTAATCAGTTCATCCTAGTTTGAATGGACTGACTTGATGGTTACTATAGGTGTGGGGCATGGCTGGAGAAGGTGGGTCACTGGGTGTGCCTTAGAAAGGTGTATCTTCCCTCTAGCCCCTCCCCCAAACCCTCTCTGCTTCCTTGTTTCCTTGAGCCAAACACTTTCTTCTGCCACGCCCTTCCTCCATGATGTTCCGCCTCATTCTAACCTAGAGCAATGAAGTCTGCTGCCCTTGGACTGAAAATCTGAAACTGTGAGCCAAAATAAGTTTCCTCCTCTAAGTTGTTCTTGTCAAGTATTTTGGTCATAGAGACAAAGCTAACACAAAAATCCTTTAAAGTTTGAGAGTAAATGTTTTCCTGTGAGGCATAATGTTAACTAGTGGATAAAGATTAGCACATTTAATCCTCAAAATGCCCTTTTATGCAAATTTGGTTATTTCCATTTTAATGATATAGGAAATTGAAATGTTGAGGAATAATATGCCAACTTCCTCAAGGTCATTTATTTAGTTATTGATAGTCAGGACCTGGAGCCCAAGCAATATACCTCCAAAACCTGAGTCCTTAACAACTATGTTCGTCTAAAAATTTATTCCCCCAAAATATTTGGGTATATGTACCCATATCTTTATCATATTATTTAGAAGAGCAGAAACTTTTTTTTTTCAGTTTTTGGCGGACACAACATCTTTGTTTTGTATGTGGTGCTGAGGATCGAACCCGGGCCGCACACATGCCAGGCGAGTGCACTACCGCTAGGGCTTGAGCCACATCCCCAGCCCCGAGCAGAAATTTTTAAAACAATTAAATGCACAGCATTCCATTTCAAAGACTATAATGTGACTATTAAAACTCGTGTTAAGCCTGGCGCAGTAGTGCACACCAGTAATCTCAGCAGTTCTAGAGGCTAAGGCAGGAGGATCCCAAATTCAAAGCCAGCCTCAGCATCTTGGTGAGGCTCTAAGTAATTTAGCAAGACCCTGTCTCAAAATATTTTAACAAAAGATCTGGAGGTATGGGCTGGGGTTGTGGCTCAACAGTAGAGTGCTCACCTAGCATAGCAAGTGAGAGGCCCTGGTTTGATCCTCAGCACGGCATAAAAATAAATAAATAATAGTATTGTGTCCGACTAAAAAATAAATATTTTTTTTAAATCTTTAAAAAAAAGAAGTGGGGGTGTGACTCAGTGGGTAAGAACCCCTGTGTATCAGTCAAGGGGGAGGGGTGCGTGAGGTGGGGATGGGGCTTCAAGGAGTTAGGAAAGCATTGAAAACTTTAAAATTTTTTTTTTTTTTTTGTATTTCGCCAGCAGGATTATACACTTCAATTTTTCTTTAAGTTTTCCAGTTTTTCTTCTTTAAACATTCTCAATTAATATAAAATAATAGTAATGAATGAAAGATGGTATTTTCTCCAGAAAGATAACATTTGGGTCACAACTCTTAGACTGTGAGAAATAGGTGCTCATTATGGAAATTACAGAATCTCTCCCTAAAAGATGGTGTAAGTTGGGAGTGATCATTTACCTTATGAGAAGACTGTGGACTTACTAAAAGAATGTTATAATATCCAGCTCTTATAATAGCAAATTTCCTTTATATATGCATCAATATTTATATGCACAGTATTTTAGGGGCACATGATTGCAAGACAACTCCTGCTCCTTGTGTCCATAATGTAGCTGTGTTCCAAGTGTCTTAATTTCTGCATTAAATTTCAATTTATAGGGCTGGGGTTGTGGCTCAGTGGTAGAACACTTGTCTAGCATGTGCGAGGCACTGGGTTTGATTTTCAGCAGCATATATAAATAAGTACATAAAATAAAGGTCCATGAACAACTAATAAAATATATTTTTTTTAATTTTATATATACACACACACACACACACACACATACACACATATATATATATACGTGTGTGTGTGTGTGTGTGTGTGTGTGTGTATCTTTTTGGTACTATTTTCTGACCAATATAATTGACAAACTGAATAGAAGCAATGAAGGGCATTGTTTTCCCATGCTGATCAAATGTTTTATTACACTAGCTTTCATTATCAGCTGTCCTATAATTTAAGAATATTAAAATGAAACTCACTAATTTGGGGCAAGGGCAGATGTTCTGAATCACTCCACATAAGTACTTAAAACCATACAGTAACAATTCAGAGGAAGGATTTATAATTTTTTAAGGACTATAAATTTTAACAAATATCCTCAAATCAAGTATCCAGCCTTTGAGGATGGATCAACTGCTGCCTCCTTCACTGTCACTCTGTACTCCCTGCCACTATGCTGGGCTCTCTCATGGTGAGCTCTTCAGGAAGCTGAAGTTGCAACTTTTTTTTTTTTTTTGTGATGCGGGGGGGATTGAACCCAGGGCCTGTGTGCATGCGAGGCAAGCACTCTACCAACTGAGCTATATCCCAGCCCCAATAAAGTTCCAACTTTTTAACCTAGTGTCTCCTTTTCACTTTGTATTGGTGCTGTGCTTGTTCCAGACAAACTGCCAATTCAGAAACTGACTGGTGTTTCTGCTTTTAATTATGGTATAGATGAGTGAATCATTAATGTTCATGTTATCTTTAGTGTACAGAACATGCAGTTTGGATGTCTAAGCTTTAATACACAGTGAATATCATTATCTCTTGGTGCCCAAGCTCCCTTGCACCTCCAGCTGACAGTTACTGCCATGTTGTGTCTATGAACAGGTTCCTGGAATAAATTTACCTGTCAATCAACTGACCTATTTCTTCGCTGCAGTTCTCATTAGCGGTGTTGTACATGAAATTGGACATGGAATAGCAGCTATTAGGTAATGATATTTATCTTTGTTCTTTTCTACTACATGCAAAGAAGCTTTTCATTTAGGAGGGTTAGTTACTAAAATCTGCTGTATTTAATAACTATTAGTCTTTCTCTGGAAATTGCCCAGTGCATATCCCTCATGTATTACTTTGAGGTAGCTTCTTTTTTCTAGAAAAGATTAATATATTGATGAATGTGCATATCTATAATTTGTGTCTTTCTGCCTTTTGCTGGCATGGTTGTGGCTTCATGGTGCTTCAAGGTTTTTCATCCCATCTTGAAAGCTAATGTTTCTATTTGTCATTGGGTTAGAATGATAACCATTGCACTCAATCTCCCTCACACACCTTGCTACTTTCTTTTTTTTTTTTTAAGTTGTCAATGGACCTTTATTTTATTTATTCATATGTGGTGCTGAGAATCAAACCCAGTGCCTCAAACATGCTAGGCAAGAATTCTACCATTGAGCTACAACCTCAGCCCCCACCTTGGTACTTTCTTTGGCTTATTAGCTGAAATAATTTCCTGCATCTGGTCATGTGCAGTATTGGCTAGAGTAAGAAAACTAAAAATGCTGATTTAACAAATATCATAGCCTATCTAGAAACTCAAGTGGAAGATAAGAAGAGGATGAAACCTAGGACTTCCTTTGAGAATCATGTCTTGGTAGTCTTTAATACCCAAGTATAATCATTCTAATTATACCTGAGTAATTAAAAGCCTACTAAAATTATAAAATCACGATGGAGCCAGGCATGATGTTGCACACTTGTAAACCCAGCAGTTCAGATCACAAGTTCAAAGCCACCTCAGCAACTTAGCTAGACCTTGTTTCTAAATAAAAAATAAAAAGGGGCTGGGAATGTGGCTTAATGATTAAGCCTAATGATTAGCCCTAGGTTCAATCCCTGGTGCCAAAAACAACAAAAATCATAGTGGAAAGAAGGTACATCACAACTTCCTTGTCACCCTGCTGATAATTACTGCTATAACCAAGCATGCTCACAGGAATGTGTTTCATCCTTTTGAGTATGTAGCCGAGAGAAAAGGCAAACTACTATTTAGAGGAAATAACTTGATTGCTTCTTATTATTGTCCAGTTGCTTATGAACTAGAGTCTGTTGGCAATAAATCCTCATCTTGACAGAACATACACTGTTGCACAGATGTGCATGGTAGTGATTTAAAGGGCAATTAACTTTTATTTTAACTCTCACCTTTGCTTTTATTTTGCAGTCTTTTAGGGTTTACATATAGAGGTGTTGTTAACAACTTAATAGTATAACTTGGGTAATTAATTTTTTAATAAAATCTCAATTGCCAACAAAAGTAAATTGTATTGTCTTATATATTTAGTATTGACAGCACAATATATTAGGGTGCTGCTTTTCTTTTAGAGTAGCTGTTTGGTCTTATGAGACTATTAGTATAATGCTTATTTTAGAAAATAAAGTGATAAAAATAGTTCTCTTAAGGACAATCTGAGCATTATATATTTTCAAAAATATTTAACATTACCTCAATAGGAATAAATCTCCCCTGCTATTTGTAATAGCTAAGATAATTGATAATTTACTTGATAATTTACTTGATAATTATATATTCTTCTGTGTCTTTCTCTAAAAATAGTTCATAGGAAACCATAAAAATTATTATCATTTAATTTCTCAGCAATAACCATCTGTTTATATATATGTCTAATTTCAGTTATTATTCAGCATAATGAAGTTGTTAGTCTATATCAGAATGCTATCTGTTTTATAATTTTTAATTTCTTAGACAGCCAAATATATACTACACTATTCTAAAATCATGATTATATAGTGTATCAACACAGTTTTTTAGATTCCAGGGACTTGGTTTTCAAATCAAAATTTGAAATTAGAGTGATTTTTTTTAAATTACATAAATTATTAATATGACAAATGCAATAGTATTAGTAAATTCCTTTTTCTCTTGTGATTTCTTAGGGAACAAGTTCGATTTAATGGCTTTGGGATTTTTCTCTTCATAATTTATCCTGGAGCATTTGTGGATCTGTTCACTACCCATCTGCAACTTATATCACCAGTTCAGCAGCTAAGGATATTTTGTGCAGGTAACAGACGACTTTTTCTTTTTTTTTTTAACATTCATCTGTGGTTTTTGTTTTAGTTTTCTATGGTTAGTGGTTTTATTGAAAGTACTGACATCAAAAATTACATCTTTTGGTTAATAAACTCAGCTTATAAGGCTCCCTTAAAAGTAGTACAATAAAATAATTTATAATTATTTCTTTAAGACCAATTGAAAGAACACAAATGGTTAAAATTTAAAAAACAAAACACAGAAGAAAGCTTTGTTTTTACTGACGCAAAAAATGACCAAGGGATGGGGATATAGCTCAGTTGCAGAGCACCTACCTAGCATGTGCTAGTTCCTGTGATCCCCAGCACTACAAAATAAAAGAAAAACAGAGCCTGCAAACTATGAAGAATGTTACTTCAGCTGAAATACAGGGCAATTTGCTCAAATCAAAAGAGAACTTGAAGAATCAACCAAGAGATAAAGGAATTCAGAAATGGAGAAGAGATAGCACTCAAGGATGGGGAGGATGGATAATGACTTCTAACATTGTCAGTGTTCAGAGAAACAGAATCACTTGGAGATATACAGCTACATAGGAAGAAATTCTGGGATACATAGATCCATCTGAGTTAAATTAGTATATGACAAATTCATCACAATTCTGCATCTCTTTAAAAGGAATAACTGAAGCTAAGCAAGAGTGTAATTATAATTCTTTTTTTTTTTTGGAGTGGGATACCAGGGATCGAACTCAGGGCCACTCAACCACTGGGCTACATCCACAGCCCTATTTTGTATTTTACTTAGAGACAGGGTCTCATTGAATTGCTTAGTGCCTCACTTTTGCTGAGACTGGCTTTGAACTTGCAATCCTTGAACAGACTGTGACTATACAAGTGTCCAAAAAAAATTGGAGGTGAGGAAAGTAAAAACAGGAAGTCTAAGTACTAATGTTCTCAACTTCATCATAGTGGAAAGAGAGTCTACCTGAAGTTGATAAATCAGAAATAGAGGCTTGACTGTACCACTTAAATGTAAACACTACAAGATCTAAAGACACACATAAAACTTTCAAATTACAATAGTGAAAGCATGAAACAGGTCAACAAAACTGATATCATCAAAAGATAAAATAAGCTGGGTGTCTCAGGAGACTGAGGCAGGATTCCAAAGCCAGCCTCAGCAAAAGTGAGGCACTAAGCAACTCAGTGAGACCCTGCCTCTAAATAAAATACAAAATAGGGCTAGGAATATGGCTCAGTGGTCAAGTGCCCCTGAGTTCAATCCCCAGTACCAAAAAAAAAAAAAAAACCAAAAAACAAAAACAACCAGAGCTGGGAATATAGCTCAGTTGGTAGAGTGTTTGCCTTGCATGCACAAGGCCTCTGGGTTCTAATCCCCAGAACCACACACACAAAATAAATAGTGCCAGACAGCCAGAAGAATGAGAAATTATACTCCATTATATGTGATGTATCCAAAGTGCATTAAGTGAGGCATAGGAATCACTTAGTAATAATGAAGAATATAAGATAATATGAAAACATAATAGTGGGGCTGAGGGTATAGCATTGGCTTAGCATGCAGAAGCCTTGAGTCCAATACACAATACAACAAGGGAGAAAAAAGGAAAGAAAGAAAGAGAAAAATAAAACAATAGGGGCTCAGGATGTGGCTCAAGTGGTAGCGTGTTCACCTGGCATGCGTGAGGCACTGGGTTCAATCCTCAGCACCACATAAAAATAAAATAAAGATATTGTGTCCACCAAAAACTAAAAAATAAGCATTTAAAAAATAAAATAAACAATAGTTATGAATCTTGTTGTATGAAGTAACAAACCATCAAAACTTAGAACAAAAAAAAATGGAAAAGGCTCAAGGAGAAACAAATTTAATAAAGATATTCATCTTTCAACACATAATGATAAGTATAAGAAAGACAAGCTATGGAAGCTCAAATTAGTAAAATAGGCAAATCAAATTCTATAACATAAACACAGAAGACAATTTACTTTCAAGTGCCCATGAAATTAAAAAAGAAAAAAAGACCATGTATTAGTTCACAAAAAAGTCTTCAATAAATTACCAAAATAATAGTAGGAACTTAAGTTCCTAAATTAAAACAAAATTTAGAATTTTGTTTTAATCACATGTTGGATCAACTTAAAACCAGAATTGCAGTATAAAAATGATGATAATTAAATCATTTTACCAGAATAAGTTGTGAAGTTTTGCTAAAAGTTTGCCATAAGGAAAATTCACTATCTTAGGTGATTATTATGCAATTAGAAATGGAAATAAATAAGTTAAATATTCAACTTGAGTATGAAGAGCTGGGGTGTAGCTTGGTGGTAGAGCACTTGCCTAGCATGGATAAAGCCCTGAGTTCAATCCTTGGTACCGAAAAAAAGGAAAACAAAATGAAGAGTAGGAAAAGAGCTATAAAATATTTTTTAGAATGAAGAAGTAATAAGAATATAGGGTCTGGGGCTGTAGCCCAGTGGCTGAATGCTTGCCTACACATATGAGGCACTGGGTTCTATCCTTAGCATAAAAATAAGCAAATAAAATAAAAGCCTATCCATCTACAACTACAAAACAATTTTTGAAAAAGAATAGAGGCAGAAAACAATGGAAAAAATAAAATTAGAACTGTTAAATCTAAGAGTTATTTGAAGGAAAAAAAGATTAAATGATGGGAGGAAGCATCTATAGACAGAATTAGTCAGTGTGGGAATTGACAGCTAATGCAGAGAAAATTAAAACAAAGTTGATGAAGAATGCCCCTATAAAATTCACAGGTAGAATTCTTTAATTTTTTGTGTTACCATGGATTGAACCCAGGGTTGCTTAACCTCTGCAGCCCTTTTTAGTATTTTATTTAGAGACAGGGTCTCACTAATTTTCTTAGGCCCATGCTAAGTTGCTGAGGCTGGCTTTGAACGTGCAATCCTCCTGCCTTAGCCTCCCCAGGCACTGGGATTACAGGCATGCACCACCACTCCGGGCTCTTTCAAATCTTGAATGTATAGATTTTCTTTTCTTTTTTCTTTGGACCAGGGATTGAACTCAGAGGCACTTAACCACTGAGCCATATCACCAGCCCTTTTTATTTTTTGTTTTGAGACAGGGTCTCACTAAGTTGCTGAGGCTAGCCTTGAACTTGTTTTCCTCCTGCCTCCCTCTTCCAAGTTGCTGGAATAACAGGCTTGTGCCACTGCCCCAGCAAAACTGAGACTTTTTTAAAGTCAATATACCAATGATATATCTTTCGTGTATAGAAAATTTATAAGCATATGGCCTATCTCAAGAATGCAAGGATGGCTCATCATTAGGAAATCTATTTGACTGTAGTAAATATTTTTCACCATTAGGGGAAAAACTTTCCTCATCTCAGAAGATACTGACAGTGTTTAACAAAATTCAAAATCTGTTTATAGTTTGTAAAATACTAAAAGTAGGAATAACTGTATATTTCATACTGGTTTAACATTTAGAAGCATTTCTATTAAAGGACAAGACAACGAATCCCACTATCAACTATTGTTGATACTATTAAATGTTGATCTGTAAATGTGGATCAGTGTAATTAAATTAGAGGAAATAAAGAAGCTTAAATATTAAAAATGAGTGGCTTTTCTTTTTTCCCCAGATACTTAATTATAAGCCTGGTTGGGGGGGTTACAAAATCAACCGAAATGAAATGCAGAAAAATTCAGTAAGGATCTGGACAGCAAAATTAATGTTCAAACAACAGTAGCGCGGCAAGAAAGCCGGAAGTTCAATGCGAACACGCGAGCACAAGCACGTGGGTATAGAGGAGCACGTGGGCATTGACGTGGGTATAGACGTGGGCACGCGATTGCTCAGTGGCCGGAAGTGCATGCGTGTGGTGCCCAGGCGCATGCGCTTGGTGTTCCCAGAAGAACAAGTGTCTTCTGACTCAATCGCCTGTAATTTGCGTTAGAGCCCACGCTTTCTTCAAGCACACACGCTTTCCAATTTCGTGCCTTCCTCTGCAGTTCATGCTTTTGTACTTGAACCTGCGTTCTCCTTGGTTCTCCGCCATCTCCTGGCCTGTACCAGCTGCGGAGTAGCTGAGACCACTGCAAAATCTCTGCCATGTCTTCAGACAGCATTATCTACATTACCACAGAAAATTTGGAGATGCCTGTAGATGTTGTAGAACTGCACCAGATTAATGTGGAAACGGTTCCTTTGGAGACTATGGCCGTGCAAACCATTGAAGTGTACGAGGATATTAGCGGTAATTGGGTCCACGGTGGCCACAACCACCCACCGCTAATTGCACTTCAGCCTCTGGTCACTCTCACTGCCAGCCACGGAGAATACGATCAGGAAATGATCATGGTGCAGACCCAAGAGGAGGTGGTGGGTTACTGTGATGCAGACAACCTGCCAGCCAACAATGAGCTCGAGGGCGAAGTGGTTGACCCAGTCGGCGGTGAAGATGTCAGTTTCCAGCAGACCCTAGCATCTCTTTTTGGCTCCACCATGTCCTCAGCCTGTGGTGGGAAGCACACCAGCCAGAGTGGCAAGCACAGCAGCAAGAATGCCAGCAGTGAGGCCAAGGTAGGAAACGGCAGCTCTGAACTGGGCAGTAAGAAGTGGGAACAGAAGCAGGTGCAGATGAAAACCCTGGAGGGAGAGTTCTCTGTCACTATGTGGCCCTCAGTTGACAAAGGAAACCAGGGGACAGAGGTTCAAGGACAGACTGAAAACTCACCTCCTGATTATTCTGAGTACATGACAGGGAAGAAACTTCCTCCTGAAGGAATACCAGGTATTGACCTCTCTGATCCCAAGCAGCTGGCAGAATTTACTAGAATGAAGCCAAAAAAACCCAAAGAAGATGGCCCAAGAAACATCGCTTGCTCTCATAAAGGCTGCGTGAAGATGTTCAGGGATAATTCTGCTATGAGAAAACATCTGCACACCCACGGTCCCCGAGTCCACGTATGTGCAGAATGCGGCAAAGCTTTCGTTGAGAGCTCCAAATTAAAGCGACAT